TCTCTCTCTCTCTCTCTCTCTCTCTCTCTCTCTCTCTCTCTCTCTCTCTCTCTCTCTCTCAGGACCAGCCTCTTCTTTTTTAAGAAAGATGGAAAGAAAGAAAGAAAGAAAGAAAGAAAGAAAGAAAGAAAGAAAGAAAGATTTATTTATTTCATGTATGTGGGTACACTGTCGCTGTCTTCAGACATACTAGAAGAGGGCATCAGATGCCCATTATAGATGGTTGTGAGCCACCATGTGGTTGCTGGGAATTAAACTCTGGAAGAACAGTTAGTGTCCTAACCACTGAGCCATCTCTCCAGCCCCCCAAGAGTCTCTCACATAGTATCTTTAACTCTTGGAAAATAGATAAGTTGTGGAAGGAAAAGCCATGGTTATCCTATGGGCTCTGCCACTAGACTGCTGGATGAATCTAGGCTAGTTTTCCACTTCTTTTTTTTTAATATTTATTTATTTATTTATTTATTCATTTATTTATTCATTCATTTAATGTGTACACTATTACTCTCTTCAGACACACCAAAAGGGGGCATAGAATCCCATTACATATGGTTGTGAGCCACCATGTGATTGCTGGGAATTGAACGCAGGATCACTGGAAGAGCAGTCAGTGCTCTTAACCACTGAGCCATCTTTCCAGCCCAAGTTTTGCACTTCTATGTGCTTCTGTGCCCGCATCTCTGGGATGTAATTCTAATCAAACCCCTCTGTGGAAGATTCTGAAGGTTGTGTGAGTTATTATCGCATGTGAAATTTATTGTTCCCTGCTGTAACGATCTTGATGCCATTTAGATTACCTCATATTTCACTGGAAAGTGATTTGAACTTACGGTTGTTGATAATCTTCTCAGCATCAACCTTACTGATTTCTGAAATAGAGCCAAAAATCCACAGTAAAGTTAAGCTGGGCAGTGGAGATAGCATTTCCCACAGACCAGAACTGATTGGGCATCCAGAACAAAGAATCATAGAAAGGAAAGAATTAGCTTATTAGAATTTTTCTTATGCTACATTTGAACATATTGTATTAAAGTGCCATCTTCATATTTCCACTTCAGAAATTACATTTTCATTAACTAGAGCAAATATTTTTATTAACATCATCTAACGTCAAAAATCGGGGTTGTCTTCTCCTGAAAAAGATTAAAGGCTCCTCCCTGTTCCAGAGACAGCCGCATCTTCTTGTGCAGTGCTAGCCTCATCCCATAGACAAAATGGTGAAGGTCGGTGTGAACAGATTTGGCCTTATTGGGCGCCTGGTTACCAGGGCTGCCTTCTGCTCTGCACTTGGCAAAGTGGAGATTGTTGCCATCAACGACCCCTTCATTGACCTCAACTACATGGTCTACATGTTCCAGTATGACTCCACCCATGGCAACTTCAATGGCACAGTCAAGGCTGAGAATGGGAAGCTAGTCATCAACCAGAAGCCCATCACCATCTTCCAGGAGCGAGATCCCACTAACATCAAATGGAGTGATGCTGGTGCTGAGTATGTCGTGGAGTCTACTGGCATCTTCACCACCATGGAGAAGGCTGGGGCTCCCTTGAAGGGTGGTGCCAAAAGGGTCACCATCTCCACCCCTTCTGCCAATGCCCCCATGTTTGTGATCAGTGTCAACCATGAGAAATATGACAACTCAGTAATGCATCCTGCACCACCAACTGCTTAGCTCCTCCACCCCGGATAAGGTCATCCATGACAACTTTGGCATCGTGAAAGGGCTCATGACCATGGTCCATGCCATCATGGTCACTCAGAAAACTGTGGATGGCCCCTCTGGAAAGCTATGGTGTGATGGCTGTGAGCCTGTCCAGAATGTCATCCCTGTATCCACTGGTGCTGCCAAGGCTGTGGGCAAGGTCATCCCAGAGCTGAACGGGAAGCTTACTGGCATAGCCTTCCGTGTTCCTACCCTCAATGTATCCCTTGTGGATCTGACATGCCTCCTGGAGAAATCTGCCAAGGATGATGACATCAAGAAGGTGGTGAAGCAGGCATCTGAAAGCCCACTGAAGGGCATTCTGGGCTACACTGAGGACCGGGTTGTCCCCTGAGACTTCAATAGCAACTCTCACTCTTCCACCTTTGATGCTGGGGCTGGCATTGCTCTCAATGACAACTTTGTAAAGCTCATTTCCTGGTATGACGATGAATACTGCTATAGCAACAGAGTCGTGGACCTCCAAGGAGTAAGAAACCCTGGACCACCCACCCCAGCAAGGACACTGAGAACAAGACAGAGGCCCTTGGTTGCTGTAGAGTCCCTGTCCCAACTTGGCCCCCAACACTGAGCATCTCCCTCACAGTTTCCATCCCAGATCCCCATAATAACAGGAGTTGCCTAGGAAGCCCTCCCTACTTTCTTAACTAGCATCAATAAAAGTTCACTGCACCCACAAAAAAAAAAAAGGAAAAAGAAACCAGATTAAGTTTCATAAGTGAATCTGATTCATGTCAGTATATAAAAAAAACCACTAAGAAGTAAAATATGCAAATCTAATGTTAATTTTCGTACATGAAGGAAATATAAACAAAACACACCATCACTTACAACGTTTGCTAAATGTATTAATATCTAGTGTAGAATGAGAAGCCATCCCTTTTTGTTCTAAGCAACCAAAAATGTAGCACTACTAGGACATGAATGAAAGGATGAATTTTCTCTGATCTATGATGATATTCATTTAAAATTATACTGAAGATAGTCTCTATTCTTGGTGTTTATGACATGTCCTAGGCACAAAATGATAATGTGTCATTGTACTCATCCAATAGGCATGCTTACCCGTGAGCTTCAGAGACCCCGGATCTGTAGTCAGGGATCCTGAGTTGTTCTCCAGCATCTGATGTAAGATGCTTTCAATTCTCTTTCTTAGGTTTTCCTTGTTTGACCACGGGTCCTTAAACACCAGCCATATATGTGCTGTCACGCTGTTGTCATCAGGACTGGAGACAATATAAAGTTTTCAGACAGTATTAAAACTCATATTTCCTCTTTTACTCTTGCTTATCTTGATTCTGCTCCCTTTTTATGAGTTGGTGCAGTAACATCCCTTAGATGAAACTTTTCGTCTGCCATATGCTTACCTGTACGTGTCAACTGAAGATGCACTGCTCTGCTGTGCATTTTGGAGGACATGAAGTTCTATATACCTTTCAGAAACAGAACTAGCCTGAGGTACCAAGGAAAGATGATCGCCGAAGAACTGAGTCACATCTCTGCATTCGATAATCACTTGTTGAGCAATCGATATAGATGTTCATCTTTGCTGAATTTTACTAAGTGATGACTAAGGCACAGTTCCTACCCTCTAGGAATTTGAAGACTTTTATGAGAGATAAGGTATGTGTGAAAAGGACTGTGACAGATGAGGCAGAAAGAGTAAGGGATTTTTTACTAGAGGTACTTGGAGGAGGTGCACATAATTTTCACTTAAAGACTTAATGAAAAGTTCATGGAAACATTAATATACAATGGACATTAAAGTATTTGTATTTCTATTTCATCATCAAACCGAAATTTTCATCAAGCTGAAATTAGGAGAGCTATATCAGATAATATCCATTGGTAATGATATTAATTAGTATTTAATACTATGTTACAGATACTTTGTTGTCACATTTGTTATTGTATGTTTTGCCATCTCTACTGGTCTACAGTAAGACTATTGTGATCTGATTTTATAAACATGCATTAACTTATATCTTAGAGATTACATAATATATTCAGGAGTATGCCACTACCAAAGTAGGAATTTTACTCAGAGAAGGTGATAGATCCTATACTATATTCTGGATTCTTTATATTATACAGTGTTGCCCTATGCCTCGCGACCCAGTCTCTAGGAGATTGGACTTAGATGCAGGAAGGCTTCAATGCTAGCCAGTGCACAGTGACAATGACAAAACATAAAACGGACCTTGAAGTAATTTGACTGTGATACTTCAGGAAGCCTTGTGTGGCTTGGGACAAGAGTAATGAGCTGAAAGACTGAACAATGAACATATGGATATTTCTTTTGATCCCTGGGGATAGGGTCTGGAAGGAGCTTCAATAATGTATGTATAAACTATTAATTCCTATGGGATTCTTAGTTCATGTGAATTTGGTGTGTGTAGCATTACATGCCAAAGAGAAACACACGGTCCTGTGGCCTCTTCTTCACTTTGTCTAGAATCTTGGTACCTACAGACACCTGAATTCAATCCATGAGTAACAAAACAAAACAGAAACATACACACACACACACACACGCACGCACGCACGCACGCACACCGTGCATATGCACATTGTGTTCAAATATTTCAACACATATTATCTTTTGATTTTGCATACAAGTCTGTGATGAAAACTAGAAAGCAGCTGTCACTGATATTTCATAACACAGAGATAGACCAACTGGTCATGTGACTCTTTTAAGACTCTGGGGCCATTAAACTATAAAATCTGGGCTCGTGTTATATTGTCCCTGTTCTGGGTTTTCCTCTGCTACACTTTGCTCCTTAATCTCATATGCAGGGAACACTTCATTTATTTTAATGCTGTGTAGAAGTCTTTTGTGGCATCAAAGCCTAGTCCGCATGTGATTCTACTGTTTAGGAAGAACCCTTAGAACAGTTTCAAAAGATTTTCATGACTTTCAAGTAGAAAGACAGAAGAAAAAATGATCTATATTTTTATACTCATTAATAAAACTAACAGAGGATCACCAAATATTTGACTCGTGAACTATCAAACAGTTCCCTTAAGCCTTATGACTTAACCACATAAGCACACATTTTGTTTTTGGTGTTATATTGAACAATTAGGATGACATGTATGATAATGTCAGTGCTTAATCATTTTTGGCAATGGCTGTGACATATCAAAAGATTCTAGATTCATTCTCCCTGGAGCACTTGAAGTATAATAATATGTATGCTGGCTTTCTCTCTTTTTCTGATGATTAATGATAGTTACTCACGCCAATGTGATGATCTGAGAGTTGATATATTGTTTGTAAATGTTAGAACTCTGAAAGGCATCAACCATCTGTTAAGAGAGAACATAGAGTTCAACATGAAATTTTAATAATATATTTATACTTTAAGCAGTTAACAAATACAAGAAAACCCAGCTTACTTTAATCTCGAGGATTTTGCTGAGGTAGTTACTTTCTAGTGATGTCTCCCTTTCATAATTTCTGTCATATGGAATATTCAACACCTTAAAACTACCTTGATAGTAGAAGATCTTGTTTTCTGTGAGATAAAGACGATCCAAGAACTACTTAAATTAAATGTACTTCAAATCAAGACTCAGATTGCATAATAACACAAAGCAGAATATTTTGTGCTCATTAGATATCGATTACCCCTTATGATTAATATTTCTGGAAAAACTGAGTAAATCATCTTGATGTTGCTGCAAATAGTTTTAAAACCAATAATAGAGAACACACACACATACACACACACACACACACAGAGAGAGAGAGAGAGAGAGAGAGAGAGAGAGAGAATTACAAAGAAGAATAATATCTTTTTATACACATGAATGATTTTTATGTCAGATGTACGTATTTGTGTGTGTGAGTTGGGACATGTGAGAGCCACTGTACATGTGTGAAAGTCAGAGGACAACCTCAGGAATCAGTCCTTATCTTATGTATTGTTTGAGACGGGGTCTCTTTTGTTTGCTGCAGTGTATGCCTGGCTAACTGGCATGTAAGCTTCCAAGGCTTCTCGTACATCAACTTCCCATCTTCCCACAGAAATACTACGATTAGAGATGTGCACTACTAGGTCTGGCTTTACTTGGGTTCTGGTGTCTAACCCCATTCCTAAAACTGGGAGGTGTGATAGTTTGTATATTCTTGGTCCAGAGAATGGTGCTATTTGGAGGTCCGGCCTTGTTGAAGTAGTTGTGACTTTGTTGGAATGAGTATGTCACTGTTCGTGTGGGCTTTGAGACCCTACTCCTAGCTGCCTGGAATTGAGTCTTCCACTAGCAGCCTTCAGATGAAGACTCTCAGAACTCTCTGGACCATGCCTGCCTGGATAATGCCTTGCTCTTGCCTTGATGATAACGGACTGAACCTCTGAACCTGTGAGCCAGTTCCAATTAAATGTTGTCCTTATAAGAATTGTCTTGGTCATGGTGTCTGATTACAGCAGTAAAACCCAAACTAAGACAGGAGGCAAAACTGAGCAAACCTCCCCAGCCTTAAGAATAGCATCTTGATTAAGACAGAAAGAACTATATACTATAATGGCTTCTGTTTGAGTAACCAGTTATCAGACTATAGATTTTTAAAGTTATCATTTTATTAACTTTTACTACAACATGATACTATAGATGAATCTTAGGAAGCATACTAATTTTTCAAGAGAAATATAGTCTCTCAGTAATTAGGTAACTAACCTAATATTATAGTCTATTAAAAAAGAACCAATGATTAAAAACTGAATCATATGACCCAAGGCATACAAACAATACAATACATTTCTCAACTTTCACAGATACTAATCTAATTGATATATGTCATATCTTATGTATGATATAAATAATGTCAAAAGATATTTGCTATTGTCAGAAGATAATCCCCAGTAAAAAATGATAAAGATCAACAAAATAACTGACAACAAATGGTGGCCAGGCTGTAAAGGGAAAAGAACCCTCATTCACTGCTCCCAGGAAAGCAACTTGGTGGAGTAATTCTGGAAATCAATTTGGAAAATCCTGAAAAAGAAAATCTACCACATGATCCAGTTTAAGCACTCCTGGGCATAGGCCCAAAATTTCCAAATCCTACTCCACAGACCCTTCCAAAGTCATGGTCAACACTGTATTCCCAGAAACTAGGAAATAGAAACAACCTAAATGCCCTTCTACCGACGGATAATAACAATGTGGTACAAGTGCACCCTGGAACACTATTCACACTGTAAAGAAAAATGATATTGTGAGTTTTTCAGATAAAGGAATAGACCTAGGAAATATTGTACTGGATGAAGTAACTCAGAAAGACCCAGGAGGACGCACGCCACATCGCATCTGATGTCCCTGCCTCCAAATCTTCAGATGCGAGCGCACAACATAAAGTAACCCCAGATACCAAACAAGCATACGGATGACCTCATCAAAGAAGATTCTCTTCAGGGAATGGAGACCATCACAGACAACCACAATTGGATAAAATAAAGAGATCAACAGATCACAGAAAACCCAGCTTGAATACGTATATCAGAATCACATCACAGGTCCTACATCCACAGCTCAGAGACTATCATGGAATAGGATATGGTAATGTTGTCACACCCATAATATTGAAGACTTAGAAATGGCTGCATACAAGACCTACACAGGTCTACATCAGATGGGATCTTAGAACTGACAGAAGTGGACACGTGCTCCCATGCCTAACCCAGAAGCTATCTCCATTTGATAACCACTGCAAACGAAAATTAATTTCCACCAAGGGAATCGCTCTGGGGAAACAAAACACTCTTAAGAGTAGGTCACATGCCCATCAGTAGACAGCCAGCACAAAATGAACTCAATGGCATCTTTGGAGACTGCTTGCCTCATAATGTTAATTTGGGACTTTTTTTTTTAACCCTAATGCCCCCTTGCATATATATTATGATTTCTGGCTTTGTGTTTTTATGTGATTCTTGTGTGTGTAAATGTGTGTGTGTGTCTGCATCTATATACACTTTTTGTGCTTCTTTTACCTTTTTCTCACTTGCTTATTTGTTTGTGTTGTCCTACTTTTGATTTGTTTGTTTGTTTTATTTTATTACTATCCCTTGGATGTCAATTGTTTTCTAATGTAAACAGAATATACTGCATGGAAAATATCTATTTGCAATTAAAGGAAATAGAAGATGAAGTGGCTCCAAAAACAAGACTGGAAGAATGGTAATGTCAATGGACATGTTAACACAAAGAAATTTTCATGGGTCTCCACCCGTAGACAAGGACTATAAACAACAAGCTGGTAACACTTGCGAGGGGGAGAATTAGCCTTTCTCAAGGATGAAGTCCTTTACTGGTCATCCAACACACAGTGGAAACCATATACATACCACCAACAATGACAGACTTGGAAGGTTGTATTTATATATACATCAGCGTGTGTGTGTGTGTGTGTGTGTGTGTGTGTGCGTGTGCACGCGCGTGTGAGCATGCATGTGTGCCTGCACACAGCAATAATAAGAAATGAAGCTATCATAAAAGCAGGAGGCATAGGAAGGACTGAAAAAAAGCTAGCTGGGACAAGCTGGAGGGAGGAAGAAAAGAGTAAAGCTACATGGTTTATAAGGATTTCTATATTGTCTTTCTTATTAATAAATAACTAGCTGAAATGTCAATAGTCCTTGAATTCTCTTCTTCACATATAATAACTATAAAACCTTAATCACACCATAGCAAACATGCAACATGGTAGAATAAGTTCTTTTGATTGTCTTTCAGGTATCTGTTCATTTGTGTCTATACTGATATTCTTTCTTATATCTGTGCCTAGAAGTGTTTCCACAGTATAACATTTGCAAATGCTAGTGATACTTTCCTGTAGGACCAGAGGTCCCCAATAGTGGGAGATAATCCATGGATGGCAATTGCTTCTTTCTATCTCACAGAAATTGACATAAACCACGTAACAAAGAGAAATTAAGACAAACGCATACCAACCTACTGCCAGAAAGTGAACTAAGAGTCCAATAATTAGCCCAAGGACTGCCAGCACTCCAAGCACACCGAGGATGACGATCCATGGTGGGAAAGATTTGTGGGAGGCTATGACTGGTCTGAAGGAGGAAATGAAAAAGATATCATAGAGCATATATTTCTCTGTATTATGTTACTCTTGCTGCCTAGAAAAGCATCACAATTATGTACAGAAGTATTAAAAGACAAAGAATAGGGGGCAAGAGGTCAGCAAGGTGGCTCAGCGGGTAGAGGTGTTTTCCTGCTGAACCTCATGACTTGAGTTTTATCATAGGAATCTACATGCCGGAAGGAGAGAGCTGAGTCTTTCAGGCTGTCCTCCAAGATGCACTTGTATAGCACGGTGGTGCTTGAGCACACACACACACACACATACACACACATACACACACACATACACACACATGTACACACACAAACACACATACACACACACATACACACACATACACACACATACATACACACAGAGACATACACACACACACAAACACACATACACAAACACACATACACACACACATACACACATACACACATACACACACACATACACAAACACACACAGACATACACACATACACAAACACACACACACACATACACACACACATACACACAAATGAAATGTAGTAAAAATTTTAAAGAAAATGGAGGGGAAAAGAGAAAAAGTGCTTTCCTTAAATGTCACACTATGACATTTTTCTCTTTTCCCCCCATATCTACACTATAAAAGCATTTTTCCAGAATATACTTCCTGTTGTCATATCTACTATGAGGGAGATCCATTTCTTTCCCATTCTCAACGGAAAGAAATAGAGTTAGTGTCCATCGGGAAAGATGTCAGTTCAGACAGGAGGGGAGAAGAAGAGAAATACCTTAGAAAAATTTTACGGCTGAGACTGTCTAAACACTTTGAAATACAATTATGCGCCAATATTATTATTATGTCCTTATGATATTCACAGTACATGTGAAAATGTCAAGTTTTATCCTGGGGGAGAGCAGTGTTTAGCCATCTTATTAGCTTATTGTTGTGGTTTAAACAAATCATTTCTATAAAAGCGTGTAAAAATAGATCTACAAGTTAGATAGGTATTACGTTTCATAGCAACCTATGTGGTTGAAAGCCTTGGACTGACCTGAGATTAGAATCTGCAGGAATTTATCAGAAAAAAACAGTCTGAGCAGACAGTCTAGGAAGAGGAAACCACATGTGGTGCTCAAGTCATGACTGGTGGCTGGAAGTTTAGTTTCTGCACCACAATGAGTCATGAATCAAACTCTCAGAGAGATTGTGGATTCTGACCATGTGAAACCATACAAGGCTCTGAGGACACATCAGTCTCTACAAGTTCACGACATTGCTACACATTCTGTACTTTTATCTGACATATTCACCTCATGTTCCCCCAGTGACCTGTCACTCAAATAACATCTATCCATAGTGGTTCCTTCCTTTCACTGATATCTTTCATACTTATCATGCCCAAACTTCCTATGGTCTCCCATTGAGAATCTTTTTTTTAATTTTTGTGTATCATTCCTTTTATCTCTCATCATTAGCATCCTATAGCCTAGGACTATTGTTTTTTATACTTTGATCATAGTCTAGAACCTAACATCACAGATATTTGTGAAACAAATAGATGAATGAAAACAGGCAGATCAACAACTGTATCTTGTGAGATAAACAGAGCAAAAGGATAGAGATTGATTAGGACTTGTATTTTTATCCTGGTAAAGCTCCTAACATGAGAGCTTAGACTGCCTAGGAAGAAAAACACCAGCAGGCAGTGTCCATGACCTTCTTTGAAAGAAGAGAAAAATGACAGGTGAGGACACCCAGAGCGATTATAATCCTTGGGAAGAGAACAGTGGGAACCTGGGAGGGGATATCAAGAAGGGGAAGAAATGAAGCACTTGAGACTTACAGAATACAAATATTTGCCAGAACTTGGGAACTATATTAATAAAGGGAAGGGATATTTTTTATATGGGAGTGCAAAATGAAGCCTACAGGAGATCACTTGAGGATTTTTTTTTAAAAAAATGTTTTTTAAACCTATAGTTTGAAGGATTTACAGATTTCTAGTACGTACCAGATATGCCATGCTGGTGCTTAACTGAGGAACCACAGCTGTGAATAAGACCTTAGCAAGCATCATGTGCAGGGAGAATAGAGACTGTAAAACTGGATCAGTGTGTGAGAGGTATTAAAAGACTTCACCAAATTAGAATTTCTCTTTCCAGTGTAAAATATTTGTTTCCATTCTAAAATCTTGGTGGTCCTTCAAGGTAGGTCTTTTTTTTTTAATTAATTTATTTATTCACTTTACATCCCAGCATCACATCTATTCCTCCCAATATTCCCTCACACAGAGATCCTCCCTAACAGATCTTCTCTGAGAAGAGGGATTTACCCACATCCCATACCCCCACACCCCACACCTCAAACCCCATACCCCACACCCCTACACCCCACAACCCCATACCCCATACCCTCACACCCCACATCCTACATCCCACACCTCACACCCCACACCCATGCTTACCTTGCTCCCGTTGATGGGAGACCAGCAATCCTGTCTACTGAGTGACTACTTACCTCAGCACAGATATATCTTTGCTTTCAATTAGTTTTGTTTAGAGACTTTTAGTTCAGAAGTTTTTGTACAATATAGGGACATTTCAAGTTTCTATCTCACTTTGTATATTCTAATAGAAATGCAAAGTTATTTATTAAACTTTTGCCAAACAAAAATTGTTAGTGTTCATTTAGGCTTTCCTTTGAAGGAGAAGAATTGAAACAGCTTGGTACTTACTGATCTTTGACATTTACTACAGGACACAGGATTTTAGACTTCACTCTCTATCCATGTTCCGTCTAGGTTATTTCATGTCACTGTTCGGATTTTCTTTTCTGAGTTTTAGCTTTCTTTTTCAATAACCTAAAGACATCTCAAACTATAATCTAGCATAGATGATTAAATAAATGCTAATGATCACAAGGAAGCTTCTCAAGCCCAAGAGAAAAATTGTTCCAGTGTTAGCCAGTTCCTGATATCCCCCCAAATAGTCTTTAGTAAAATCTCATGAGTGATACTTCAATGTGGTGTGGAATATGAGATGTGTTTTGCCATAAGAGTGGTTGGGCGAATTTCTCACGGCCATGCTCATAAGGCTGTAAGTCAGACTTTCTTTCTAGTCTACAGCCTGTCGCTAACACTAAGGAAGCATTGAAAATGATAATAATTGCTTGTGAAATCCACTTCTCCATCTGATGTTATTTTCACTACATTCAGCCATTCATCACTCAAGTACCTACATGCATCTGAAAGTTCATCAAAGCTTCCTGAAAGCCGCCAGTGCAATCAACCCCATTTCCTAATCCTTCCTTGCTCAGGAATGTTAACTGGTTCAGTGTCTTACTCCAAGAAGTTGATTATAGAATTAGGGCTTGAGCCTTGCCTAGGTATCACAAAATTCTTGACACTGTGGCTTAACCCTTTTACCTTTCTCTCAACCTAGGACTTTACACACGTGTAAACTAGCCATGGAGAAAGAGTGAAATGCCCCATAAACAAAAGCTATTATCCACCCGGAATAAAGGCAATAACTATTTACAAGAAGCAGACAAACAAAATTCCAATCACACTGGACTTTCTAAACTTAAATTTGCTTGATGCTTCTTTTAGTTTCCATCAGAGATATTGAGAAAAAAAAGAAAAATTAAGGACATAAATAAAATAACATCTTTAATGCAAAACAAAATCACACAATAAATCTTTAAGTCAAGAAAGACAGTTAGTATGTTCTATCAGAGATGAATATATCCTTTTCAGCAATACGTTTAGAATAACACTGAATGTTATCAATATAGATGTGTCTTGTGGGTTATTTTGACCTAAATATATAGATTTAATAATACATATTTGTAAAAAACATTTATGTAAGATATACATTTACATCTTGACAGATAACATTCATTAAGTAGTAGTACTCTGAAATCCAAGATAATATATAGAATTTATCATAGAAAGCATAAGGTTTTAAACAAATACAGAGCCCACGGCCATCATCCTTCCTAAGCACCATTTCATATTAAACTCACAAGGAAGTAAAATGTCTCTGCCATTGCCCGTCTACTGGACAACAATCACACATTCGTCATATTTTTTGTTCACACGGTATTAAGTTACACGTCCCTTTTTTGAAGCACCCCTCAAACCAGGGCTTAACGCCTGAGATTGCAAACACAAATGTGTGTTCGTGACATTATGTCTCCGTGCTGAAGTTCCAAAAGGCTGTGAAATCGCTATATATTCACCAGCTAGATACAATTATTTTTGCCACAGTCCTTAAGGTGAGACTCGAATGGAGGAGATGGTGAAATTCTATTTTCTCAGAATCTTAGGCAGGCAAATTACCACTTACCTGTACATAACGTGCTGATACAGTGCTGGCTGGTGTTAACGCGGAGGGGACTTCTGAACTCCTTAGGTGTTGATAGTGGTTCCCGGGTAAATGTGCTAGCTACAAGGATATTTGAGATTTTAAGGGCTGGTACGATAGCAGAACTGCATTTAAAAGAAACTTGTTTAACAGGTGTGGTAACAACTGAGGATCTGCAGCTTAGAGGAAGTAACGAAGATTGTCTTTGAATTGAAAACCTAGACTACAAACAATGGGTATAACTTGGTCATCAGAAAGGCCCACCCAAAACTACCACCACGCTACAGTGAATCAGTGCTCTGACTCAGGAGCTATCCATCCTCTCAGCATAGAGAACTCTCCTGGGAGAAACTAACATGCATCTGACAGATTACTTAACTGTAAGTTGTGTCTTTGAGCCTAAGTCGTTTGAAATGTGCTTAGAGAGTCTCATGGGAATAGGTGAACGCTGTTATGGAGTGAAATTACAGATGAAAAGTAGAGTTTAGAGAAACAAAGCATTTCGCTTTGATGATTCTTTGTATAGAAAACGGAAAGACCTGATTAAGCAGCTGAGAGATCTTTTACTGAATGAAGGCATATTAGGTTTTTGAGTGATATACTAAGTTCTTGTAAAAACAGAGCTCAGGGAGCCATTTATGCATTTGTAAAACAACTACCTTGATGCTCGTAACTATTTTTGATGTTTTGAAGAGCACATTTCTCTATCTTCTCATAAAGTTAGTATTTTACATACTTCCTGGAGTTTCACAATGTTTCCAGAAATAGTGACATAACCTTATACACTAATGGGAAACACCAACAAATATATAGTAGTGAATGTATAGTTGAATAAGAAATTTAACAATGCTAGAAAGGAAATAAAGCAGGATAGTTGAGTAGAAAGTGGAAAATGAGGTGGATAGGATAGCTAGCTATAGAGTACTCAGATCAACCTAGAAGACAAAGCTTTGAGCAAAGACCAGAACAATGATGTAACCGCTGTGGTTTGCTGTACTATTACTTATACATGACACTTTCATTAAAAAAAAAAATAACAGCTGAGGCATAACCTAAACAATTATGTGTTTGTCATACAAGCATTACAACCTGAGGTTGGGTCTCTAGAACACACGTAAAATCCAGACACAGCAGCATGCTTGTCACCTCAACATTAAGAGGGTAGAAACAAGTTGGTCCCTGGAGTCTCTGGCCAGCCAGTCAAGCAGTGAGAGATTGTGTCTCAAAATATATTCTATACCATTTACAACACCATCTCTCTTTACCCATAGAATAGCATGATATAACAGAGAAGACATGACTTCTACTCCAATGCCAGACATAATGACATAAATCTTCTGACCTTGAGCACAAGATCAGGACTGTACTTGGGAAACTGTTGTATCAATTGACACGTGCTTGTCACAGTGCCCAGGATACTGGGTTTGCTTTGGTTTGGTTTGGTTTGGTGTTTTAGTTTTTCAGGGTAGGGTTTCTTTGTGTATCCTTGGCTGTCCTGGAACTGGTTCTGTAGACCAGGCTGACCTCCATCTTGTAGAGATCCACCTGCCTCTGCTTGTCTAGTGCTGTGATTAAAGATGTATACCACCAATCATGCAGCTTGTGTTGTCTGAACAATTACAGCTTGATTTTACTTCAACCACTTCTTAATCTGTCTTGAAAGGTGTTTTCCTGCTATCTTAATTTTATTCAGGATTCATAATGCTCCCCAAATTTCCACATATCTTATTCCGTGAGCATTCATGCCCCATGACCCAACCTAGTTACATTTCTTTCTCCAAGACTTGCTTGAAAATATTTATCTTCTCAATAATCATATAGACTTATCAATACTAGCCTATGCTAAATTATCTGCTACTATATCAATTTCTATTTGTAATCGTCCTTTGGGTAATTTATCACTTAAATGTAAGCAGCTTGAACTTAAAAGTAAGAACCATGTCATACATCTCTGTTCTTCAGATGCTGATCATAACTTCCGATGCTTAGTGTTCAGTAGATGTTAGCAAATAAGTTATATGTTCAGATATATGCTTAGAATCCAAAATACATGGGTGCCTCTTAAAATTGAATAAAATATATTAAATGTAAAATTTTAAGTGCATATTATGCACACAAACAGATATATGGTTCTGACAAACTTTTCACAGAGCAAAACAGAAGTGGTCAATCAATTTAAAACTGGAATTTACTCTCATTATAACTAATATTTACAGGAACAAAAAAATAAATAAAAATGATGTGTCACTACAAAAACTAAAAATATTTACTACTTAAAGATTTGTTTTAAAGAGCTGGAGAGTGGGTTTAGTGATTAAGAGCACTGACTGTGCTTCCACAGGCCCTGGGTTCTGTTCCCAACATTCACATGGTGGCTCATAAATACCTGCAACATAAGTTCCAAGGTTAGCCAGCATCATCTTCTGGCTTCTCTAGGCACTGTGTGCTCATGATACACCAACATACATGCAAAATACCATGCACATAAAAATGCAAATAAATCTTTAAAATAAAAATAAGATTTTGGCATTTGGGAGATAGAAGCCAGATGAACATGAGTTCAAGGTCACCCTCAGCTAGATGATGAGTTTGAGACTAGCCAAGGTTACGTAAGACCCAGTCTAAAAACATGAAAAAGCAGAAGTTTTCATCAAATAAAGACTATGTAAGAATGTAGAGAAATGCATCTCACATCTGGATAATTGAAGTAAGAATTGTGACAGCATCTTCTCAGTGCAGTTCACTGATCTAAAATTTAAAATAATCTGTCAATAACTAAATGATTATCTATCCTAGCACATATATTCAAATAGAATCACAAGAAGAAATTTTCTATAAAATCCCTAATAGCAACAAATGGAAACAAATTATTCAACAAATTTATTCTAAAACCTACATCTCCCATAGTCCCTTTCAGCTAGGATTCTAGGTACAAATTAGGTTTCTTCCTTATTAGATGAAGCACCCAAGAGGGCTTATAATGTAGAGGTGAGACTTCTATGGTTCTCCAGCAATAGACCATTAGCTTATGATACCTTCTAGGGCTGAGAAGCAGTTCATGGACATGAGGAAGTTAGTGCTAATGGTATAGTTACTAGATCTTGTATGTTGAGTTCTGCAATAGCTTCCCACAGCACTCATTTTTCTACTGCTCAGTGAATCATCATTGGGACTCAGTCCAGGACCTCCACCTCCGGGCCTTCAAAAGTTCTGGAGTTTTGAAAATTTCTTCAAAGTCCTTTCTGCTGAACATGCCTTTTCTGATTTGAACTGTCCAGCTATCTATCTAATCTATCTATCTATCTATCTATCTATCTATCTATCTATCTATCTATCTATCTAATTCTATATATCTCTCTCTCCATGTCTGCTGCTCTCTGTCTCTCTCTCTCTCCTCCTCTGTCTCTTTCTCTATCTCTCTCCCTGAAAATCTCTCTCTCTCTCTCTCTCTCTCTCTCTCTCTCTCTCTCTCTCTCTCTCTTTTTCTGTGTAAACTGAGTAAATATATTATGCTTTATGTATATACTTAAAATATTACATATGGGGCAATTAAGTAAAATAATATAGCATGGACTCACTAAAGTACTTTTTAAAAGGAAATAATACTGTCCTTTACAAATGGTTTCTAATATTTATAAAATTTTAAAACAAAACTATGTGAAACAATCATGTGGGGTCACTGTCAAGGACAAGAAATAGATCAGAATTGAAAAAGATAATTAAAAAAAATAGTCTACAGAGACTGTAGGAAAGGCCATCCAGAGACTGCCCCACCTGGGGCTCCATTCCATATACAATTACCAAATCCAGACACTATTGTGGATGCCAAGAAGTGCGTGCTGACAGGAGCCTGATATAACTGTCTCCTGAGAGGCTCTGCCAGAACCTGACAAACACAGAGGTGGATGCTTGCAGCCAACCATTGGACTGAGGACAGGGTCTCCAATGGAAGACTTAGAGAAAGGACTAAAGGAGCTGTCCTTTGTCCTTTTGTTTGTAACCCCATAGGAAGAACAATATCAACAACCAGGCCCCCTCAGAGCTCCCAGGAACGAAACCACCAACAAAAAAGTACACATGGCATAACTAATGGCTCCAGCCACATATGTTGAAGAGGATAGCCTTGTTGGACATCAATGGGAGGAGAGGTCCTAGGTCCTGTGAAGGCTCAATGCCCCAGTGTAGGGAAGACCAGGATGGGAAAGCAGAAGTGGGTGGATGGGTGGGTGAACACTCCCAGAGAAGCAGGGGGAGAGGGGATGGGATGGGGTGTTGGGGAGGGGAAACTGGGAAAGGTGCTAACATTTGAAATAAAGAAAATATCTAATAAAAAATTTAAAAAATAAAGTAGTCCTCTACAAAAAAAAATCTAAACTTAATGGGTTCAGTTTCTTTACAATAATAATGTATTCATATATTCCTTATGTTATGGGTATTTTTAAATTAAATAAACCCAACATACTTTTAAAAAAATAAATGGTTGTCCTTTTAAATCCAAATAGAAAAAAAAACATCAATTTGTGGATAAAATATAAATTTTTGGAGGGATATCTGGGTTGCTTCCAGCTTCTGGCTATTATGAATAAAGCTGCTACAAACATAGTAGAGCATGTGTCCTTGTGATATGGTGGACCATCTTTTGGATATATGCCCAGAAGCAGTATAGCTGGGTCTCCTGTTAGGACTATTTCCAATGTTCTGAGGAACTACCAGATTGATTTTCAGAATGGTTGTACAAGTTTGCAATACCAGCAATGGAGGAGTGTTCCTCTCTCTCCACATCCTCATCAGCATCTGCTGTCACTTGAGTTTTTGATCTTAGCCATTCTAATTGGTGTCATTTTGATTTGCATTTCCCTGATGACTAAGGATGTTGAACATTTCTTTAAGTACTTCTCAGTATGGGGAATCTCTTAGAAGTCCCAGAGACCTGGAATCAGGAAGCCTCTTAGGACTCATTGTGGGTGACCTCAACCAAAATGTGCAACAGTGGAGATATGAAACCT